AATAGTTGTGGTATACAAAACACATCTTGAAACTATTTATTGTTCGGCCCTTTGCAGAAAAAAAAAATTTTTTATGGAATCCTGACCTAGATTTGTGATCATATTTAGAGCCAAAGTTAGATTTTTTTTTTGGTTAGGGCTATAACTCATAAGATTTGTTATTGATAAATTTATAACCAGGTATTAAGGCAAATATTAAACCACAACTTAGACTGGTCAGACTAAGCAAATTAGACAACTTCTATATCCCCACCTGTGCTCTCAACTTCCTGATATATTTACCCATGTCCGTTGTCCTAATTTTAGGGATGTTAAAATAGTAAGAAGTTCGGTGAGCATAGGTATTTAATTGCTGTTTTATCCCCAAACTACCCAATGTTAAGCTATTACACTATGTAAAATATGCTAACTGTCAAGGAGGGATAAATCTAGTGAGTTGAGGCTGGATGTGTTCACCCAGGTTTGCCTTCAGATGTCAGCCAGCTAATGGTCTTCATATAAAGAGTTAATCATAGCCTTTATATTTTATTCGCTGGAGCAAAAGCACAGCGGGTAGGGCATTTACCTTGCATTTGGCCTACCCGGCCAACCCAGGTTCAATTCCTCCACCCCTCTCGGAGAGCCTAGCAAGCTATTGAGAATATCTCGCCCGCACGGCAAAGTCTGGCAAGCTCCCCGTGACATATTTGATATGCCCAACACAATAACAAATGTCACAATGGAGATGTTATTGGGCCTACTTGAGCAAATCGATGAACAACGGGAATACAGTGACAGTGACAACTTATTATTTTAGCCAAATTCTTTTACCTGGAAGCCTAACATTGACCCTTAAAGACTCTTCTATCATGCCCAAAAGAAGGAATCAGAAAAGCATGAAATCTGAGGCCACTGTACAAGATATAATTTGAGTTAGGAACTTAGGGGAAAGAGGGTGGATACTTGAATTGGATAATGAATACTTCAGAACCTGATTCTATCTTGTCCTCCCTTGTGAACTTGAGACAAAACCACAGAATTTTCAACCATCAATAAAAGGACTATATCTAAAGTATATAAATCATTTGTCAGAGATGCTGAATAAATGATACCAAAAAGGAAAAGAAATGTTGAGAGAAAAACATGTGCAGATGTGTCTGGTGATACAGCATCAACTACAAATGCATACCACCACCCCCTACCCCTGCAAAAATAATCTTCACACAAAGCAGAAACATGGAATGTGGATTGTGGACTAGAGTTTTTCACTGGAAATTTGCCTGTTGTGATGTGGTTCATTAAAACATTCTCAGTACAACATAAACTATATTTGTTTGAGACTCACGATGTGAAAGCATTGTCTGTCCTAAGTAGTAAATGCCTTTTATGAGAATCATTTTGATGATAAATATTTAATAAAAATAAGTCATTTATATTAAAATTTAGAGATTATGAAAAGAAATTTTTACCAAGAAAATCTTTTTAGAGTGCTTTGAGGGGAGAAACCATTATTGATAGCGCTTTAAACACCAGAAATTCAGCAATAATTTTTTGAGTGCTTTGAGGAGTCAAAGATAGCCCAGCAGTCAGTGCCCATGTCTAGCCTGCCCCAAAATCGAGTTTGATTCCAGACACCACAATGTCTCTGACTCTTGCCTGGCACAGCTCTGGAGGCCACAAGAACTGCAGGGCTGTGTCTCTGGAAGCTTCCAGCACCACAACCAGGGTGACCCAGGCAATTTTAGCACCAAAGGACCTGAGCAATATTGCATCTTAGGACCTAACATTAACCTCTGATCCAGAGAGTGGTGCGGTGCCTCCCCCCAAACCCCCTGAACACCACTAGGGAGCCACACCCAAAAGAGGGTTTTTAAATAGTTCTATGTTTGAAATACTACTATGCTATATTGTTTATGATAACAATAATTTTTTCCATTCAGGGTTCCTGGTGAAAATTCTTCACAGAAAATGCAAATTCTCTTTCTCTTTTTCTCTTTCTCTCTCTCTCTCTCACTCTCTCTCTCTCTCTCCATCCATCTATCCAGCAGCTGTCTTTGTTTTTTTTCTCTTCTCCTTCTTTTCCTCTACTCCCACACATAACTTTATATAGTTCTGAAGAATTGAGGATGTAAACCCTCAGTTAAGGAATTCTTGTCCTTAATTAATTTTTTTAAAAGCCAAGAATTTTAACTGTTGCTAAGATACAGATAAGATCAGAAAATTCTCCTCCCCTCAGCAGAGTCTTCAAGTTCACAGAGGCACAGTTTATGTAGCCACTGCAGGCTCTATAGTTTCTGTTCCACGTTCATGCTTGCATCTATAAATAATCACCTAGTACAAGAATCATCTCTTTTTTAGAACAAAAGTACAAGCAAAGAATAAAGACAGGCCTGAAAATTCTACCGATGAATTTATGCTGGCAGCACATAAATTCAAAGCAGACATTTTTAGAGCAACCCAAAGTGAGGTTCTTCAGCTCTTCTCAGAAGTGAAGGTTATAGAAAGGGCGAGCACGATGTGTCCTCAAGACTCCACAGGAAACTTAAGAGAGAAAGATTCTGTTTATATTCATCCTGCTGTTCTTTCACACAGCCTCTTGTGACCAGAAAACTACTTGAAAGTCACGTGATCTGAGTGTGTCTGGTTCTAACAACTGTTGAATGAACCATTTTAACTCCCTCCCACATTCCTCCTGAGAATTCTTTGCAAGGTGCATGGGGAAGCAAGAGACAGTCATGATAACACCAGAGAGCCTCTGGAATTTTATAATCACATATCTTCACTCATCCCTTTTTCTTCACTGTGACTTCTCCTTGTGGATTCCCAAATATACCAGTCATGCTTGAACTGGGAATATGACTCTGAGCTACCCACCAAGATTGGAGGCCAGAGATGCACTAATGATTTCAGGGTGGGCTGACCTTTGCTACCTGAAACTAACACTCAGAACTGGTCCTTCAGTTTCTTTTCCTGATTCTAAGATGACTACTCTCTAATGCTGAGAGTATCTGATCTCTAAATTACAAAGGAATGATTAAAGTATGTCTTTTTATACACTGCTAAGAATGCAAAAATAACAGAATGCTAAATCTACTACTTGATTATTAAACCCGAAATTTATTTTAAAACAAGAGTAGTAAGAGCAGAGAAGGGAAAACTTGGAGTAATTGCTTCCAATTTTTTTTCTTAGCTTGATCAGACTGAATGCCCATGTAGAGAGTTCATTGCAAAAATGTAAAAGATAGAATTTGCAACCCTAATAGGTTGTGACCATAAATAGATGGAAGATAAAACTGTTTATTTGAATCCCAACACAACTTTGGGTTTAACCTTGAGCCCTACTTCCTAGGCAAAGTCCATTCCAACTAAACAATACTGACTACTCCTCTCTGAAAACTCACATTTTAACACCTGGAACTTTTCCTTCTGTTTCAATTTTCATCTGTACAGACTTCATCTGTTAGGAGTTATCCCTAACAAAACTAGCTGATTCTTTTTATTATTATTATTATTATTATTATTATTATTTCTTAACTAAAATCTCCTGTAGCCTTCCACAAAACACATCATTAGGAAATCTAAGGGAAAATAAGATAGCACTCTGGGCAGTCTTGCAAAGTCTTGACCCAAAATCAATACCTAGTAAAAATGATCACGCGAGCACTGCCAGAAGTGATCTCTGAGCACAGTCAGGAAAAAGTCATGATCAATGCCAGATATGGCCCACTCACCCCACAATTTAAGAAGAAATTTATGAAACTAAGTTAAATTAAAGATAAACAAGAGTGAGCCTATCTGATAAAGTTTTGTCGAGAGGAGGAATCTGTATCTCTCCTGCCCACAACTGGTAGAGCAGAATAGAGTACTTTTTCTTCTAAAATGCTTCAGTTGTTCCACAGATATTTGATGAAATCATATTATTCACGAACCATAATGCTCGTCATTAAGATGACATATTAACTCATCTCCAGTACAGAAGTATACAGCAAACCTTCATTATCTGTGCTTTCACTTTCCACAGCTGCAGTTACTGTGAACAATAATTCTTCAAAAATGTTAGTTACAGTAAGCTATTTTGAGCAAAAAGAAACCACATTCCTATTTATAGTATATTTTCAAAATTTTGTTCTATTCTATTGTTATATGGGCTGGAGAAAGAGCCAAGCAGGTAGGGCTTTTGCCTTGCATGCAGCCGACCTGGCCTACCCACGTTCAATTCCTCCTCCCCTCTGGGAGAGCCTGGCAAGCTACCGAGAGTATCTCGCTCGCATGGCAAAGCCGGGCAAGGTACCCGTGACGTATTCGATATGCCAAACACATTAACAACAACTCTCACAATGGAGACGTTACTGGGTCCACTAGAGCAAATCAATGAACAACGGGAGAACAGTGCTACAGTGCTATTGTTGTGTGTTGTGCCTAATTTATAAATAATATTAAGTGCCACACAGGGCTGTATAAAAAGAAAACTCACATGCACATATGTATCCCTGTATGAATGCATAGGTAGGATCTGATACAGTTCCAGGCATTCACCTATAGTCTTAGACCCCAACTCCACTAGATAACGTGGGTAAAGGGAGATGTAATACTACAAAAATAGGTGCCCTTTTTTCTAAACATCTCATATTATTTTAGTTAACACAGTTTCATTCTTTCCATAGAAGACCAACCCCATGGAAAATTCACCCTCTGCCTTACTAGTGGTCAAAACCCAGACAATCCTTATCTTGTGGTGTTTTCCGAAAGAGAAAAGAAGATCAAAATCAAACCTTAGCCCATATCTAGATACAGGCTAGCCTTTCCTTTTAAGTCCAAAACCTTTCAATGTTTGTTTTTGATGGAGAAACCCAGAGGATGTGCAAGACATCGAAGGTCTTTTACTGGAGCAGAGGGGGAAAGATCCTGTCATCCCAGCCCAATATTAATTACCCGGAAGGGAAAACTATCCTTAAGAACATAAAATAGTCTTTCAACAACATCTGTTGTAAGAAAATGCTCCCTAATGCCCAAATCACGACCCTAAAAAATCAGCACCTACAAAGCAAAAGTTCACACAGTAAGGCATATGACAAAATAATTTATTATAAGTATCTTCAAATCTTTCAAGCTTTCTCCATTTCAAGTTCTTCATTTAAAAAAAAAAGTACAAACCACTGCAATATATATTTAACATGTATAAAAGAGGAAGAAAAGTCAATTGTTTCACTTTTGTGAAAGGATCCTTAAAATGACACTCCAAGTTATAATAAATGTATTTCCTAGTTAAATACGAAAGAAAATTCACATTATCCAAAGTCTTGGGTCATACATTGCTCAGGTCGAACCAAGCCTGAGAGACACAGCTCTCTATACACCAATCAAAACGCCTACTGGCATTTGCTGCGGGCAATTTTAGAGATATTGGGTCTACAGATTCTCATTGTATAAGTATAAAACTCTTGGGGGGGGGGGAATTTCCAGTAAAATAATTTTCCAACAAAACTTATTCTGTCTTCCCTCATTCTATAAAATTGTTCACCAATCCAGTCACTAATGCTCCCCAGCCCACACCCAAAAGAACTGGCATGCCTTTTTTTCAACAGATTCTTATAAACTTGGAACTTTCTGTTTAACAACCATCTTCAATAAGATTCACAATCGTCTTGGTTGTGACTCTAGGCAATAGCAGGCCAGTGTACAATGCCTGAAGCAGACAGCAGTTATAAAGATTCCCTTTGTGGAGCAGCGAATATCAATGTAAAAATCCAAAAACACAGGAATATGTTCAGAACTCTCATGGACACTTGTTTGACAAAAATCTGTTTAAGAATCATAGGGACAATGAGAGGCAAATGATTGTGGAGTACATGTCTTATTCCATATCTATAAACACACGTAACATTGGATGATGTCCTAAGACATACCAGCTGCAGGGTACAGAAGCAGGGGCGAAAACATTCTATTCGGGGATGCTTAAGTGCCTAACACCCTCTCTGAGCCTCGCTTAGAGGTAGATCAAATATAACAGTAGGAGGAAAGAGCATGGGGGAATTTCAGAGTAATATTAGCATGTTCTCCCTCACCCTGCTGCCTGTCTCCTCCTGTTCGCTCTCCACCCGCGCAGTTAGCAGGATTCATTCTGGAAGGCAACCCTTGAACTAGAGAGAGTGTGTACATGTGTGGGGGTTGGCCAACATTTCAATGGTAGCAGTGACCTCAGGTACACTGTAAACTTCACCCACCCTCCTGACACCCTTTGCCTTCTGTCTTCCTGCTTTTGTCAAGACTGACCTCCCCAGCTGGGGCAGGAGTCAGTGCTGTTCTGCTGGTCAAAGAGTCAAACTCAGACACTGCAAAATTGGGTGGAAAGGAGAGTTCACTCTCGGGTGAGCAATGAATTCTTCTACATAAATTCTGGGATGAAACATCTTTTTATCTCATTCTTACTTTGGACAACCTGGCAGGCTACCGAATGTAACCTGCCCACACGGCAGAGTCTGGCAAACTCCCCGTGGCGTACCCAATATACCAAATACCAGTAACAATGATGGGCTATGATGGGTCTCATTCTCCTAACCCTGAAAGAGCCTTGAATATGGCACTTTTTAAAATCTCAGGGCTAGGATGAAGGAGACGTTACTGGTGCCTGCTCGAGGCAATCGATGAACAACAGGATGATCGTGATCGTGATCGTGATCGTGAAATTCCGGGATCTTTTCCATAAAATGAAACGAAGTCTTCTCATCTCAAAAAATCAGCAGAATGCTGCTTTCAGACACGTCCACCACTTCACTCTGAAAAGAAAACACAGACACAGTCATTCTCTGCCTTTGAAAAACCCGGGGGATTTTAAACAATTACGTGCTCAGTGGATTTCATTAGGTTGAAAGATAAACGCACGGTGACATTTGAATGCTTGTATATTTCTAATAGGAAGTTGACCCTCCCATCAACACACACAAACAATTCTGAATACCTCTCCAAAAGCAAATGGCACGGAGTTTATTTGCTAATCTGTTTTGGTACTGTTCATAATCAACAGCGTTTTGATGAGCCCTATTAGACAGTGAGGATTGTTTTTCCTCTACATCACTGTGATGACCAGGGACTGCACAGATTTGGTCTCCGCGTGCTGGGGATCACACGCTTTGCTGAAGCATCAGGGCCAAACTGCAGTGCCCTGGGATCACAAGTACGCAGTGTGTGAGAGGGTGCCTGATGCCCCCTGCAGGCAGTGCAGGTGCTTTACAGCCCCCTGGGCCCAGCCGAAGGTATTGCAACATTCATCTGTTCTTAATAACCTAACCATGAAAATACCTGTAAATTTTCTAAAGCACCTACAATAATTTTTAAGACAGAATGTGTGACCTGGCCTGAGCAATGGGGCATGGGAAGTGGAAGGGGTTGGGGAGGGGGCAGGGTGTGACAAAATGCCATGCAGGGATCTGAACTAGTCTGCACTGAGCCCATAAGCCCCACAGAAGGCTTTTCACGACAGAAACATGGGCTGGAGAATCCCTGACATGGAGCTGTCCCGAGGATTGTAAGAGGTTCAGAAAGATTCCTGAATTCCCCCGATGAGCTGCTGGTCCCTCACCCATGCACCCGGTTGAGTTAATGAACAATGTCTCTGAACATGACCAAATACCTCTGGTTGAGAAGTACTTGCTCATTGGTTAAACTCTCCCACAGGATGTATAAACCACCTTGATGCCCCCAATGGTCCCTTCAAGACAGACACACAGCCCTCTCGAGATGCCAGCAACCAGTTCATCAGTTTACCCCACAAATGTGTGAACACGATTCACTGTCATTATCTGGAGCCTTTTCCTCTTCATTTTTACATAAATGCAGTTGTTGGCTTTCTGGGGGAAGATAGGTTGGGGGCGTGGTGAAGAGATGGCTCCCCCATGTGCTAGCGGGTACTCAGGGACCACAGCCCAGGAAGCGATGCCTGACAGCTTCATGCTTCCACCCACACTACTGGGTCCCAGAGGTGTGGGAGCATCAGCACAGAACAGACTCCGTGCTCCTGAGCTGTCCTCCAGGGCAGCTCCACATCAGTCCAGTTTTTGTCTTGGTTCCTCACTTCATCTACGAGGCAATCCTTTCAACAGTACAAAATAACCCATCTCCCAAATAAATCATGCACTGTTTTGCATTGGTAGAAGCAGAATTCCCCTCTTTATACCTCCATGTTTCATCCAAGAAGTTATGAAACACACATATTAGTGGCATATTAGAACACTCCCTTAAGCTTGAGGGCATTCGGCTGAGTAAGTCAAAGGCAAATGCTGCAGGCTAGTGTTGATATGAGGAATCTGAAAAACCCCAGAGGTCATACCAAAAAAAAGAAGGAGCAAATTAGTAGTTGCTGGAAGCTGAGGCAAGAGCAGGGAAGAGGAAAGGTAACTGAGTGAAGAAAGTAGAAGGTTCACACTTCCAGACTAAGGTTAACAAAGTATTGGTGGCTCGAGTTAACTCTGCCACTTGGTACATTTAAAGTTGCTAAGAGGTGTGACAATTTCAGTCACAAAACCCACACACCCAAATTTTCAGCAGGTTAATTCTCAGTGAGGTCCATCCTGATACAGTGCAGTCCAGCTGGGGACAGAGTAGCAATCTTGGATCACCCCAAAGCTGCCACCAATTTAAAAAAGTTATTTCAGCCTTGCCTCCAGATAGAAATACTGAATACTGAATGTCCCGAACAAACATGATGACCTCTTAGTAGCTGGATTGCAAGCTTTAATACACAAAAGGAGAAGGAGAGAGAGAGAGAGAGAGAGAGAGAGAGAGAGAGAGAGAGAGAGAGAGAGAGAGAGGTGCCTGCCATAGAGGCAGGCTGAGGGGGGTCCGGGGGGTGGGGATGGTGGGAGGGATACAGGGGATATTAATGGTGGGAAATGTACACTGGTGGATTTATGGGTGTTGGATCACTATATGCCTGAAATCCAATCATGAACAACTATGTAATGATCTATCTCATAGATATTCACGATCACGATCATCCTGTTGTTCGTCGATTGCCTGGAGCAGGCACCAGTAACGTCTCCTTCATCCTAGCCCTGAGATTTTAAAAGAGCCCATTTCAATGCTCTTTTAGGGTTAGGAGAATGAGACCCATCATTGTTACTGGTATTTGGCATATTGAGTACGACACGGGAAGTTTGCCAGACTCTGCCGCGCGGGCAGGATACTTTTGGTAGCCTGCTAGGTTCTCCAAAGGAAAAATAAGATAATATGATAATAAGATATATGTTGCTTCTGGGAGCTGGGTTTTATAGTCTCTGCATCTTGGCCATTGATGGGACCAATCTGGCGCTGGCAGCAGCTGGTGAGTGTGACGCCTACCTACTGGAAGATGGAGGGTCTGGGTGGAGAAGGCCCAGACCCAATCCGAACAGACTTGGAGATCTCAGCCCTGGGACCGCATGCCTGGGTTCCTCTGCCAGTTCTATCATGCATGAGGCCTGTCCGAACGTGTGGAGAGTGGTCCCAGCATGACCGTGGCTGGCTCTGGAGGTCCTCAGCTGCTGGGGCTCTGCTGGGGCGGGAAGGGAAACAACCCGCCCCCCCTTCAAGGGGCCCCGGTGAGGACAGCCAGGCGTGGGGGCAGGAGATGTTCAATAAAATATATATATATATATATTTTGAAAAAAGAAAGTTGCTAAGAAAGTGAATCCTAAGTTGTGAGAGTCAGCACACGGGTTTAGGTGCTTGTCTTCTCTTTGGTGGATTCTCTCTGTAGCTTAGCCCTACATATGGTTCCCTGCATACCTCCCAGAATGGACATAGAGCTGGGAGTAAAGGCCTAAAAACAACCAAGTATGGCCCAAACTTTGCTCCCCTCCCCAATAAAAAAAAAACAGCAACAAAAAAAATAAACCCCCAAATTTCTCTTTACAAGGAAAATAAACTCTTTGTAATGAAATAGGATGAAGGATGTTAATTAAACTTATTTGGGAATCATTTCACAACATATGTGAGTCATTATGCTGTAAACCATGATCTGAGACAACATTTGCTGTCAATTATAACTCAAAATAGGAAAATCGTTAAAATTCCCTTGGAACTATAAAAGTCTTTCTTTTGTGCTACAGTGCTTTTTATAATATTATAAATATGCCAGTAGCTATGCTGAATAATCGTTGTGTTTCCTTCCAAATTGTAGAATGAAAAAAAAATATGCATAATATCCCAGGAATCCAAATTACAATCTAATTTTTAAGATTCTGACTATAAAAAACTAAGTATAGGAGCTGAGGCAATAGCACAGCTGGTAGGGCGTTTGCCTTGCACGTGGCCAACCCGGGTTCTATTCCCAGTGTCCCATATGGTCCCCTGGGAACCGCCAAGGGTAATTCCTGAGTGCAGAGCCAGAAGCAACCCCTGTGCATCACCAGGTGTCATCCAAAAATAAAAAAAAAAAAATACTACGTATAAACTATGAAAGGCACCACAGACTGGCTTCAGGGAATCCTTAGAATCCCTGAAAACGTTTGTAAGCATGCTTCTAGGGCAAAGAATGTGCATATTTTTCTGTGGAGAAGGTACAGGGCCATCTTCAAATTTCCTAATGCAACATTGTTCAGCATCTTTGCAGCTGTAGGCTGACACCTGCCTACATTTCCGGACCACAAATCAACAGTTGCAACCACAGCGGTAGACCAGAGGGTTTCAACCTCTCTATACTCATGGTGCCGGCAGCAGTTGAAAAGGTCCTACACTGGCGGTTGAAGATCACTGCTGAGCATGTGAACCCAACAATTTACAGCAGCTCCATGTATTTTAGAGATGAGAACACTATCCTTGTGGGAAACTAGTTGCCCGACTCATTACAGAGGGTGGGGGTAACCCGCCAAGCCCAGAATAAACCTGGAAAACTGACCTCAAGCCCAAGGTCACTCTGGGCCCCACCTCAGGGCCTCCACTATCCTGATTCCATCCGTATCTTCCCTTTCTTTGGAGTCGCCTCCCTTATTGAACAATTTCTCTCAGCTGGGTCTCTCTTCTTCCTTCCTGACTTACTGAGGGTCATTGGTATTTGATTGATACTCTTTTTTTTTTTAGTTACTGTAAAAATATATTTTATTTGGAAGTCACTTAGAACTGTCCAAAGTTCATGGGGACTTCTTTAAATTCTATGACCTTTTTTTAATTAATTTATTTAATTTTTTATTTTTAATGAACCATCATGAGGTACAGTTACAGACTTACAAACTTCCGTGCTTATGTTTCAGTCATACAATGATCAAGTACCCATCCTTTCACCAGTGCCCGTTCTCCTCCATCAATGTTCCCTGTATCCCTCCCATCCCCCAATCATTCCCCCGTCCCCCCTCACCTCTGTGGCAGGCGCATTCCCTTTTACTCTCTCTCTCTCTCTCCTTTAGGGTGCTGTGGTCTACAATGCAAGTATTGAATGGCCATCATGTTTGGTCTATAGTCTACTTTCAGCACGCATCTCCCCTGAGCGGGCCCTCCTAGCAACCTTTACTTGGTGGTCCCTTCTCTATCTGAGCTGCCTTTTCCCCCAGCATGTGGAGTCAGCTTCCAAGCCGTGGAGACTGATACTCTTATTCCTGAAAATATCCAGCTAGCCAAAGTGCTGCACTCGCAAGTCGTGTTATGGGGGACCTGAGGGTTATGGAAAACTGGCAGAGAAGATGAGTCAGCAGCAGGAGCATTTGCCTTACAAGTGTGAGAGTGTCAGATCCCCAGAGCCCTGCATACCTGGAGAGTGAGGATGATCCTCACAGTGCTGCACTCTCATCCCTGCACTACAAGCAGTTTCACTGCACCACTGCCAGTGTGTCTGAGCCCTGTGGCTAAAGGATTTAACACCCCCTGCTCCCCATGCGACCCGCCATAACTACATCTAAAGACGTGTGGTCCTGCCACCCTTGTGAGAACCTGTGTGAGCTCAGTCAGGATGTGTGAGAGAACCACAACTAAAAATTGTGGCCCCCCCAGGCAGGAGAGAGATAGTACAGTGGATAGGGTGTTGGCCTGACAGACAGGTAGCCAAGTTCCATCTGGATACCACATATGCACCCCCCCCAACCCCCACCAGAAGTGATTCCAAGATGCAGAGCCATGGCTCTGAGCACTACTGGGTGTGAGCACTGGAACCTGGTGTTCAACCCTGATGAACACCTCAACCAAAAGGGCAAAAACATCACAACCGAGTGTGTATACAACCTCCTGCCACTGCAACAAAAATAGAAAAGGGGGAAGAATCGTTCTTGTGGGGGGATGAGTTCATTTCCCAAAAGGCTTCCATAATATTTTCCCCGGCACTAGTATCTTACCAATAAACATTTTTATAATGAATAATAATAATATAAGGTAAAGGCCCTCCCGTTGATCGTCGATTTGCTCGAGCGGGCCCAGTAACGTCTCCATTGGAGACTTTGTTGTTACTGTGTCTGGCATATCCAATACTCTCGGTAGCTTGCCGGGCTCTCCGAGAGGGGCGGAGGAATCGAACTCGGGTCGGCCATGTTGGCTGCTTGTAAGGCGAACGCCCTACCCACTGTGCTATGAAAATATCCCTGAGACAAAGAGAATAATCTACTGAGAAGCTTTGCTTCATCCAAGCGGCTTCTTTAGGGCTGACCTGGTTTGTGTGAGCCCTTGAAAATGTCTCTGAATTGTTTGATTAAATTCACAGTCTCTTGGGACTGGAGCAATAGCACAGTGGGTAGGGCATTTGCCTTGCATACGGCCAACCTGGGTTCGATTCCCAGCATCCCATATGGTCCCCCGGGCACTGCCTGAGTGCATGAGTCAGGAGTAACCCCTGTGCATTGCCGGGTGTGACCCAAAAAGAAAAAAAAGAATCCAAAAAAAGAGTAAATTCACAGTCTCTTGAGAGCTCCTTCAGACCTCTTGAGCAACTTGCCCTTTACGGTACATTATATGACCCCTCAAACTCATAATCCTCTAAGCCAGTGCTCATTCCCTTCCAACTTCCTGGCCTTTACTTGGAAAGAGCCAGTAACTAGCCAGCCTAGTGGGGCAGGGGCTTCTCCAAAGACCAACCGAGTCCCCCACTCCAAGCCATAGGCTCTGCCAAGGTTCCTCAACAGAAGTCTCTCACCTCCTCACAGGAGAAATGATCAAAGGGTGCTTATCCTCCTAATATTTCTGTAGAGGGGGCATAACCTCCTTACTCCCTACATGTCTGTACTGTATGACCACAGACATGCTTTACATATTCAGATTCCCTGCACAGACACCATTTGTGCAGCCTGGCCTTCTTTGGGGGTCTGGTAGCATACAGGGCTGAAGGGCAGGCCTTGCATGTGGCCGACTGCGGTCTCTAACACTGCCAGGTATGGTCCTGAAGCCTCTAAGCACTACACCGGGGGCCTGAGTGAGACCCAGGTCCATATCCTCAGGTTCTCACATTGAATCATCCAGCAGGTTGGCCAAGAATCCCTGGAGGAGTCCCCAGACTCCCTGAACACTATTTTGGAACTCCTCCGTGCTCCCCCACCCCAAGAAACTAACAGTTCACTTATTTTATTCCATTGGGGGGGGAAAGACCTTAAAACTTGTCTTATATAATTCTCTGCCTTCTATGACTAAGATCAGTCTACTTTTAATGTCTTCATCAAGATACAGTGTCACCACCAGAGCAACTCTTCCTGCATGACAAAGTGACACACATACCCTCTGATTTCACTTCCACTCCTGTGGCTGGCACCATGCCTACCGCTAACCACATCATCTAATTTGCATTTTTCATATATATATATATTACTATGAAGTATGATGGCTTTGGATGAAAAAAAAGAACACCCAAGATGGTTGGCACAAGGCCCAAGATTTTTGCAACCATAAGTGGGAAATGAGAAGAGACAGGGTATAAAAACCAATGCTTCCTGACAGATTCAATGGGAGAGCATTTCAAAGTCTGGAGCCATTGCACTACCCTACCTTCCATTTGCCTAGCTTTAGGTGAAGTATTAAAATTCCTCTGATCCTGACAAGTGTCCTGTCAACTACACTTATTTAATGACCCATCAACTGCCTCAACGTGTTCTAGATTTTAGAAGTTTTAGAGGTAGACAAGCAAAGTTAATGTCATTTTCTAAGACACTAATCTCCCTTCCCCTAGCCCTCTGAATTTCTGAACAAACTCACTGGTTTTCAGGGAGAAAAAAGGTTACTCACAATGAGATCAACTTTCATCAGTTTTGCTATAACACTTATTTCAAATTCTTCACCATTTTTGTTCCTGAAACAGGAAGTCACTAGTTTTGGTAACTACATGGTGTTTCCATGAAGTTTTTAAGTTTATTATAAAGTGCTTTAAAGGGCTTAGCCTGTAGGACATTAGAGCAAGGAAACATTTAGCAATTTACCTCTGTGATGTGTAATTAATTTTTTATGGCTTGTTTTCCCAACTACTATCTGGGCATGGAGGACAGGGTCTATGGGAACTCCACAGAACACAGACCATCAGCTGCACAGAAATCAAACAAGCAATGGGCACTGGTGGAGAAATGGGTACTCGATCACTGTATGACTAAAACGTAAGCACGAAAGTTTGTAACTGTATCTCACGGTGATTCATTAAAAAATAAAAATTTTTTAAAAAAGGAAAAACAAAGAAATCAAACAAACAAACAGCCTGCAGCCTGATGAACCACTTCTCTGCTATCACAGCATTCCTTTCAGGATGTCCGGACTTACAAAAGATTAAAACAGACCCAGGATCAAGGCCCAGAGTCTCACAACCAGGTATGTTCTGATCGTGGAAGTTCTGCCGCAGGACACCCAATACCAGCTCCTCACTCATCATATACTCCATAAAATCGTTGTCTTCTGACGGAACCCCAAAGAGCAGGTCGTAGGTTACGGTGGAACTATCACCCCTGAAAGACAAACCGAGCACAATCAGTGAAACACAGAAATAGAATCATATTGCAGCTCAGAAAACCAATTTCAGCACACATTGCTTACAGCTCCACAGGAACTTCCAGCACAGAGGAGCAAGAGAGTAGGGTCCTGGGAAGAATCCTCTTCCACAGTTCCATAGTGAAAAAGAATGCAAGTGACCTCAACTTCCTCTTTCTACCCAAAAAAACACAGGCTAGGAATTCAATGGGAGAAGTATCAAAAAGTGGCCCATTAAGGTGAAAGGCTGGCCACCTTCTGACCCAACAACCTTTCATTCCCTAAGGCAGGCCGGGAAAGTCTTTTTCTCCTCCTAGATTCCCTCCTCCGGTTCTCATGCTACCTGCCCCATCACTGTGTGTGAGAGCTACTCGATCTAACCGCTCCTTGCTGAGCCTACCTACACAAGGTTTAAGGTAATGCCCAAAGAGCCGTGCTAGGGGCTGGGTGCAATCTCTCCGACTCCCACAGACTGTTCTGCGCCTTTCTCCCAAATTAGGAACATTTTCAGTCTCGCTTCCATTTCCCAAGGCTCCAGCTTTGAAGTCTGTTGTTGTTTGTTGGATGGTTTGGCTGGAGCCAATTTGGCAGCTCTCAGGGGCGACTCTCTGCTGAGTTCTCGTGGGATCAGCCGTGCTCGGAACCAAACCAACGGCCCCTGCATACAAAGAATGTGCACTTCGATCTGCATTCATGACCTCCAGCCTTGAAATATTCAATGATAAAAAAAAAAAAAAACCTAAAGGAGAGTTTCCATCAACCTAGAACATTTTTCCCCATTTCCAATATAAAAATAATCACAGGTCTCTCCTCAGTCATTAGTAGCTTGATCTGCTTGTTAAACATTACCTCAACATTTAGGTTTGACATAGTCATCCATCGGCTCGGGAAGAGCATATTAAAACCTCAATAAAGTAGCTGAAAGCTGACTGCATCCCAATTTCAGATGCTAGGGACACTTCTAAGCACAACCGCCTCAATCTGAATGCTACTACTGCCAGAGACAGGCAAAGAGCTCCCTCTTGTGGCCAAAATGCAGACAGGCCAGTGCTCGGCTTTGCTGTAGTGGACACCATTTCAAAAAGACTTTTGGACTCATAATTATTGCAGCATTATTCACAATTGCCCAAACCTGGAAACAACCTAAGAACCCAATAATAGATGACTAGATAAAGAAACTGTGACATATATGTCACTGTCACTGTCACTGTCCTCCCATTGTTCATCGATTTGCTTGAGGGGACCCAGTAACGTCTTTGAGCCTCTCTCCTGTCTCAGCTCTGTCATTCTTTCTTTTTTTTCTTTTTTGGGTCACACCCTGCGATGCACAGGGGCTACTCCTGGCTCATGCATTCAGGTATTACTCCTGGCAGTGCTCGGGGGACTATATGGGATGCTGGGAATCGAACCCAGGTCAGCCACGTGCAAGGCAAATGACCACCCCACTGTGCTATCGCTCCAGCCCCAGCTCTGTCATTCTTGAACTGCAAGTTGAATTGAACACGTAGTCAGCAGAAAGTGTGTGAGGTGAGATCTGCATCTCTGCCTTTCTGGTGAGATTTTAATGCCAGTGCATTTGAAAGGAGCAGTGTCAAAGACTCACCACATGTTATGCAGGTATGCAGGTAACAGGCACACTTGGGGCACACTCCAAAGAAAGAACAGTGCTGGACCAAGGCAGTGCGACAGTGTTCTCAGACTGCAAGCCCACTGCAGGCCTGCCCTGGGTGCTCCTCCCAGAATGACCCATGCTAAGGTTTGGGAAATAGGTTTGAGAGGAGGAAATCAATACGATACCATCATTGATGGCTTCCTCCCAGGGCTCCCTTAGGAAGACAGATAATAAAGCTTTGCCTGTAAACCTTGCCCTAACCATCCAAAGAAACAACAATTAACACCTCTGCACCAAGACACCCCTTCAGCTAAAGTGTTAAAAGACATATACACAGGCAGCAAATATTAGGGCTCGGAGCGAGACTACAGCAGGTAGGGTATTTGCCTTGCCACAGTCAATCTTGGTTCAGTTCCTGGCACCCCATAGGGTCCCCTCAAGCTCCACAGGAGTGATTCCTGAGCACAGAACCAGGAGTAAGCCCTGAGCACTGTTTGATGTGACACCCCGAAGCAAACAAACAAACAAACAAAAAGATTAGAAGGATATTAAGAGGGAAAAGTATGGGTGTGTGTATACAACATAATATAGTATATAAGGTATATATAACAGAGATATGATGGCAGAAATTGGACCAAACTCTTGATGATTGTTTATTTGATAGAAAAGAGAGGAATTCGCTCCATGTAGGATAACTAGCACTTGCAGTGCCCAGGGATAAGGGAGGAAATGCTGGCAGAAGGCAGAGTTTCTATTATATGTATATTTAATATTACGAACACTCTTTGGTTGTTTGTGTTCCTCAAAAGCAAAAGCCAATATGTAATTAAATCATGTAAACCCCATCACTGAGATCTATTTCTCTTTCTTCCTTAGTTTATTCCTGCACCCACTGCTAAACAGGAGGGTTACTTGGGCTGTTGATTTTACTCTCTCTCCCTTGTGACCTTAGAGTGTCCTAGCAGATTAATCTGGACTTAATTTAATCCTTTAAATAACAAGGGAATTGAGCTATGTGGCACCCCAAATCTTCCCAGCAATGTTATTTTTTTTATTTCTAACATTAGTTCCCATAGTGCTTTGAGACATGGGAATTCCTTCAAGGTGGATGGTGTTGCATTCCAGAGAAAGAGTTACAATCCTTGTTCTCACCTGCCACCTTCCTTGATTTGAACTGAAGTAAAATAACGACTCAGCGCTGGTGATGAGCTGTACACATCAGTGAGCTGAAACAAACAAATCAAGCAAATACACATTATTGCCAGGTCATAGTGTGTATCTACTGACAACACAGAACGACATCTACACCCAGGAGATTTGACTCCAGCCGGAAACGAATTTACCCAGAGGTTCTGATCAAGGAATAGTAGGTGACGAGCAGACCACCAACCAAAATTCAAGTCAATACGTATTGAAAACGACCCTTTTGCTAGGCCTCCAGGGAGCAGAACAGGATCTTCAGTATCTCTTATGTACTGTGCTAACCTCTTGTAACTGTAATGAAAGTGTGTGGGGGGGGGCAGCCTGCATCCACACAGACTGCAGGGAGGAAGGAAGAGGCACACGCAGAGACTCGGCAGACTACAGAATAGATCACTCGGGATCTAGCGCATGACAAGAGTTGCTTCTCTCTTTCTTCCATGGAAGGAGAAAGAACCATGTCGGGCCACGGATATCAAGCTTTCTCCCTGGAGAATGTGATCAACCGGAGGTGGTCTATGGCGTTTTCGTATGATGCATAGAATATAGTAACCGTAGTAATGATACACCTATATTCCCACGACCTTCTTTCCAAGCTCCTCAGCAACCTCCTTCCCTGATCCTTCTTCCTTCCCTGATCCTTCTTCCTTCCCTAATCCTTAAAACCTTGTCCTGGGTTTTATACATAGTGCAAAAGTTTAAGAAAAAAAAATGTAGTTCAAAATTTTAAGTTAGGAGGTGAAGTGGTTTTCTCTATCTCAGTGTCGACTCTGAGATCCGTTTAGGTGCCCTGGTCTCTGCTGTAATAGGGTATATTTACATAATTTAGAGCTGCTGCTAATTGCACTTTCTACTTTCTTTGGGCCCAAGAAGGGAAATAGGAGGCTTCTTACCCCTTGTCTCCCAGACTGAGCCTCTGACATTGTGTATAAATAGGCAAGAGGTAGGCAACGGATTGGCAAAATTGAGAACCATGTCTGATAAGAAATAATCTTCTAGAATAAGAAAGATGCTGTCTTTGAATAAAAAAGGGGGGGGGGAATAATAATAAAATAAAATTAACGTTCAGAATAGAATTAAAAAAAAAGTAATGCCCAATTCAATCAGCTTAATCAATATCTGAATAAATAGCAGTACTCCTACATTAAGAAAGAAAGAAAGAAAGAAAGAAAGAAAGAAAGAAAGAAAGAAAGAAAGGAAGGAAGGAAGAAAGAAAGATACCGTCTTGCCTCACTGGTGGTGCCACCCTTAATGAAGCAATACCCTCGCTGAGATATTACGGCACGAAGCTAACAGCTAGAGTCTCAGAGTAAGAGACCAGGCCTGAGAAGGAAAAGCTCTAAGTAAGTTGTGAGAGGGACGAGGAAAGCTTCGGAAAAGCAATTAAATCAAAGAAAAAGAGAGCAGATGATCACTGTCTCTGCTCCCATTTAACTTCCTCAAAATTTCTAGAAACCAGCCAAATGGATGAAAAGGTTTGTTGACTTCAATGAGGCAGTAATACTTCTAGATTCTTCATTTTTCCTAAACTTATTTTATTGGGAAGTTAAGGGACAAGAGTTTTTCACATACCTGGGTCTGCTTTTATCATCTGTGTTTCAAATCACTCTTTTTAAAACTACTATATGATTTTTTCAAGCCCTGAGCTGCACGGGACGGGCACGGAGGCCCAGCTCTGGGCAACAAAGCTGAACGGCTCCAATTTCAAACAGGTACAGCCCGCCTCCAAGGGCCTGGGACCCTTTCTGGGCATGTGCACCTAGATCCAGCCCCTAGACAGCCGGTTTTCAACCCTGAGCTGCGCGGGACGGGCACGAAGGCCCAGCTCTGGGCAACAAAGCTGAACGGCTCCAATTCCAAACAGGAGACATTCCCAACTCCTCGCCAGTGCCAGGGACTCTTTCTGGAGCCGCAGCCACTAACGCGGCCGCGAAATATTTTCCCACTACATATGCCATAGGAACAATAAGCTACCTTCTTAGATGGAAACTTCTCTATTTTACCTCAGCCACTAGAAACACAGTAGCCAATAACTCATAAGCCTATCTTAACTCACACTGCATATCAAGCAGAATAGTAACAGTGAACGTGAAGGACTAAACCACACCTCTCACAATGGTAAAGCAACGCAAAAGCCCACCAAACTTTCATATTGAAGAGTCTATCCCAGATGACACCAACAGTACTGTAGTGTTAGACAACCTCTCTGACAAGGAATTCAGGAGGGAGCTACTTAGGATGCTTAGGGAATTAAAAGAAACAATGGAAAGCAATGCCAATAGAAGACAAGAGGATCTGAAGGCAGAAATGAGGAAAATGCAATCAGAAATATCAGACCTGAAAAATCTCGTAGGCGAATTGAAAAGCTCAGTGGAAGGCCTCAGCAGCAGAGTAACAGCTGCTGAGAACAGAATCAGTGAACTCGAAGATGAAGTTCAGAGACTCTCCAGAAAAGAGCAGAAAATGGAAAAGAGACTCACAATTCGCGAACAGATGGCAAGAGAAGATCGGGATGAAGCCAAGAGGGGTAACATAAGAATTATTGGAGTCCCAGAGGGACAGGAAGAAAACCTTGATGAAGAAGAAACTGTCAAAGAAATCATTGCTACAACATTTCCAGAGCTGAAGAAAACTTGTGACCACATTCAGGAGGCCCGAAGGGTACCAGCTAGAAGAAATCCGAATAAAAATACCCCAAGACACATTCTGATCAAAATGACCAAAACCTTAGACAGAGACAAAATTCTGAAAGCAGCAAGATCGAAGAAAGAAATCTCTTACAAAGGAGCATCCTTAAAATTCACAGCTGATTTTTCTGATGAAACCCTCATGGCCTGAAAACAGTGGTGGGACATAGTGAAAAAACTCAATGAAATAAATGCCTCTCCAAAAATACTTTACCCAGCAAGACTCTCATTCATAATAGAAGGAACAACACACAGTTTCACAGACAAACAACAGCTCAGGAACTTCATAGACTCAAAACCATGGTTACAAGAACAACTAAATGGGCTACTTTAAGGCAAGAAAGGCCCCTCAAATACACCAAATTTTAACAGAACAATGGGACAAAATCCCATAACAATAATCTCTCTCAATGTCAATGGGCTAAACGCACCAATTAAAAGACATAGAGTGGCAGGATGGATTAGAAAATTGAACCCAACATTCTGCTGCCTGCAAGAAATGCATCTCAATAGTCAAAGCAAACACAGACTCAGAGTCAAAGGCTTGAAAACAATCCTACAGGCAAACAGCTCCCATAAAAAAGCTGGGGTAGCCATCCTTATATCAGACCACATCGATTTCAGAGTGAGGAAGGTCATAAGAGACAGTGAAGGCCATTTCTTATTGATCAAAGGATCTGTACAACAGGAAGAACTTACAATAATAAATGTATATGCACCTAATGAGAGACCAGCAAAGTACTTAAAACAACTACTCATAGATTTGGAAAAAGACATCAATAGCAACACAATACTAGTGGGAGACTTCAACACTGCTTTGTCACCTCTTGATAGATCAACCAGACTCAAGCTTAGCAAGGACATACTTCATTTGAGGGAAACAATGGAAGAAAGGGACTTAGTAGATATATATAGGACACTTCATCCACAAAAAGCTGAATACACATTCTTCTCAAGCGTCCATGGAACATTCTCCAAGATAGACCACATGCTGAGCCACAAAACATGCCTCCATAAAATTAAGAAGGTAGAGATTGTATCAACAATCTTCTCAGACCATAATGCGCTGAAATTAGAAGTAAATCACACACAAAAACAGAAAACTAAATCAAACACCTGGAAATTAAACAGTGCACTATTGAACAACGAGTGGATTAGACAGGAAATCAAAGAGGAAATCAAAAGATTCCTAGAAACGAATGAAAATGAGAACACGAGTTACCAAAACTTATGGGACACAGCAAAGGCTGTGTAAGAGGAAAGTTTATAGCTCTACAAGCATTCCTCAGGAAGGAGGAGCGAGCACACATAAGTAACCTAACCTCACAGCTTAAGAGCTTGGAGAAGGACCAAAAAAAGGAGCACAACCCGAACAGGAGAAAGGAAATAATAAAACTCAGAGCAGAGATTAATGAGATGGAAACCCAAAAAACAATCCGAAAGATCAATGAAACCAAAAGCTGGTTCTTCGAGAAAATTAACAAGATCGATAAGCCTCTAGCAAAACTCACAAAAAAAGGGAGAGAGAAAACCCTAATAAACCGAATCAGAAATGAAAAGGGGGTCATTACAACAGAAACCACAGAAATTCAGAGGATCCTCAGGGAGTACTTTGAGAAGCTTTATGCCACGGAACATCAAAACCTCGAGGAAATGGATAAATTCCTAGACTCCTACAGACTCCCAAGGCTGAACCAAGAAGACCTGGAATACCTGAACAGACCTATCACCATCAAGGAAATTGAACTGGTAATAAAAAGTCTACCCAAGCACAAAAGTCCTGGCCCGGATGGATTCACTAGTGAATTCTTCCAAATCTTTAAAGAGGACTTACTCCCAATGCTCTTTAAGCTTTTCCACGAAATTGAAATATCAAAAACACTTCCGAACAGTTTCTACGAAGCAAATATCACACTGATACCAAAAGCAGACAGAGATACCACAAAGAAAGAGAATTACAGGCCGATATCCCTGATGAACACAGATGCAAAGATCCTCAACAAACTACTAGCAAATAGAATCCAACTACTCATCAAAAAGATCATACACCATGACCAAGTAGGATTCATCCCAGGGATGCAAGGATGGTTTAACATTCGAAAATCAATCAACATAATCCATCATATCAACAAAAGAAAAGATAAAAAGCATATGATTATATCAATAGATGCAGAGAAAGCATTTGACAAGATCCAGCACCCCTTTATGATGAAAACCCTAGCCAAAATGGGTATAGAGGGGACCTTCCTCAACATAATTAAAGCCATCTACCACAAGCCTACAGCAAGCATCATCCTCAATGGGGAAAAACTGAGAGCCTTCCCTCTAAGATCAGGGAC